CTGAAAATTTTATTAAAGAAAAGAAAAACTAAAATCTTAGCTTGCGTTTGGTTGTGTTTTGTAAATGTAATTTGAGAGTATGAATTGTATTTTGAGGCTGTGAGTTGTAGAATTATGATTTGAGTGTAGAAAATTTGTTTGGTTATGATTTTTAAATAGAGTGTTGAATTGTGTTTTGAAGATGTATTTTGAATTAAGTTTTGAAAGTTTAATGTGACATGTGAAAGGTGAAAATTTATTTGGTGATGTGTTTTGAAAATAATTTTCAAAACTTAATTCAACTAATAATTTATCATCAAACACACAACTCATATATCGATATCGATATTTTTTTTATCAACAATAATAACCAAACTATTTTTAAAATACTGAAATTAAAAATTGATTTTTTTTGTCAATTATTTTTTTTTAGTAATTTTTTTGAATAATTGTTGTTTCGAAATAATTTTTTCATTTTAAAATAAACCGATGTCAGTTTGTTTCTGCCAATTAATTTTTCTATCGATATTCATATTTTTTATCAAAAATAATAACCAAACTATTTTTAAAATACTGACATTAAAAATACCATTTTTTTGTCCATTAATTTTTTTTCAAATCTTTTTTTTGAATAATTTTTTTTTTTTCAAATAATTTTGTCATTTTAAAATAAACCTATGTCAATTATTTTGTGTCAATTAATTTTTCTATCAATTTATTTTTTACGCCTGTACAAACATCTTATAAAATACGTTTTTAATTTTTTTCTAAAATAATTGATAGAAAATCTGAATAAAATCTCACCTTTCTGAACCTTTTGAACCTCACCTTTCTATAAAATAATTGATGCCAGTTCATCTTCAGAGAGGAGGACAACCGGCCGGTCATCCCCAAGGTCTACCGGCCGATCATCCCCAAGGTTTGATACACAGATGAGGTTCACGTGAAACAGAGACAATGGAAGAGAAGGACATGGAAGCTTTTCAGAAACGTTGAAAGTGGAGATACAAGCTGCCAAACGGATTTTCAAAATCTAATTTGAATTAAAACGCTGAATCAACTTTTAAACATCCTATCCAAACATGAAGCGAGAGTTCACGTGTAGAATCACGTTTTGAATTCACAACCAAACACAGCCTTAGTTTTTAAAAAGACTGCTAAATATTCCCTCTTTTTTTTTTTTTTTTTGGTCTCCCCATATTCCCTCTTTTTTTTTTTTTTTTTGGTCTCCCCATTTTTTTTTATTATAATTTTGTCTTAACATAAAATTTTAATTTTATCTCCATCCCTATCTTTCCAAGTCTAATCCTAACCCTAATCCCACTTCTACTTCCACTTCCACTTCCGTTGACACCTTCTAGCGACTTACCCACCACCACTTCCACTTCCGCCGACAACCTCCAGAACCATCACTTCCACTTCCCATCGTCACGACGCCCACCTCATGACCCCGAGCATCGCAATAATTAAAGAATATCTAAAATATATTATTTTTCATATTTGTTAGGTTTTCTTATTTTCATGATTTCTTGATTAACACTCTATATAAGTCTTATATATAGGTCACTTTTTTAATAGTTCAATACAATAATATATTATTCAATATCAAGAGATTCTCTTCTCTCCCTCTCTACATTTATCTTAATATGATATCAAAGCTATAAGATCTGGCTTATCTTTCTGGTTCACCAACAGGCAGCCGATTAAGCATGGTGATATACCATGTGAACCATCCAAGTCGCCCTTAGTGCACCGCTTAACCCCCCTCTTGCGTACGTTGTTATAAGCTATTTCCTAGTGCACTATGTCATCTGTTACCATTATCGTTCAACACCGCGTCATAAGTTACGTGTGTGTCACGTTTGCTGGTTCATCATCCGTTCATGTTCAAGCGCGTTCCAAGGCCTATTTTGTCATCAAAATGTCGCTCAATCGCCCCTAGCAGACCTTTATCATTTGCTCTAGCAGCAAACTCTTCTCAATCACACCTAGCAGGCCCTTATCGTTTGCCCTAGCAGCAGACTCTTCTCAATCACCACTAGTAGGCTCTTGTTGTTTGCCTTAGTAGCAAACTCTTTTCAATTGCTCCTAATAGGCTCTTTCGTTTTCCCTAGTAGCAAACTTTTTTCAATCGCCCTTATCAGGCTCTTTTATTTGCCCTAGCAGCAAACTCTCATTTATTTTTTGTTTGTTCTTTTAAATTCAAGTTAGTTTACCTGCTTGAATTTGAGGGGGACTGTTAAAGAATATCTAAAATATATTATTTTTCATATTTGTTAGGTAGTCTTATTTTCATGATTTCTTGATTAACACTCTATATAAGTCTTATATATAGGTCACTTTTTTAATAGTTCAATACAATAATATATTATTCAATATCAAGAGATTCTCCTCTCTCTCTCAGCACCCGTATCCTTCAAAGCTTTCGGAGAAGTGTATTCGAATCCTTTATTTTTATTTTGGAAATCTTAGATGTTGTGTATGTTGGTTTTGGAGGAGTATAATCCAATTTAAACTTGTTAGATTTGGTTGTTCGCACTTATTCTTGTCAAAAGTTCTTTGGAGACTTAGAAATTATACTCTAGGGTCGACACCAGCCTTCTTAAGGGTCGACCCTTACCTGTTGGTGAAGTTTCTAGAAGTGTTGCTGGAAAATAAGGTAGACACCAGATTGGGGATGGTCGACCCTCTTATGTCTGTCTGTTAGTTGCTGGAAAATAGGATAGACACCAGACTAGGGAGGGTCGACCCTCTTATGTCCGTGTGTTAGTTGCTGGAAAATAGGGTCGATCATATCTTGTCTAAGGGTCGACCCCTCTTACTTGTGCAGATTGTCTTTTCTACCTAAAGGGTTGACCCTCATGCCCGAAGGGTCGACTCCTGTGTGTTTTTTTTTTCCAGATTTTTAAGGTCCAAATGAGCCCTATCTAAGGGGGTTTTTGGGCCTATTATTTTATTTGACCTCAGGGCTATTTCTTACTACTATAAATAGGCCCAAACCATTTTTCTTTCATGATTTTCCTTCCATTTTTCCTCTTAAATCGTGATTTCTCTCTTATCACTATAAACTTCCTTTTATGCTTACTAAATGTTACTTGTTATTCTGTTACTACATATTATTCATAAATAGTGAGTATTATTATCGGAGTGGGTACTTTCGGGTTGTAATATCTTATTGAGCTCGTCGCTCACTAGCATTCCCGTTGCTTTGGCGTTTTATGCTAGGTACCAAAGAAATCGAAGGAAACACGGAGGCCTTGCAAGGCGACACTCAGCCTTGGTTAGCTTGAAGAGTGTCCAAGTTCCATGAACCATTTCCTAAAATTTCAAGTTTTTCTCTAGTTTTCTTTTTATATTTGTGTTATTTCTGTTATGTACTACTAAGTTGTGATGTAAGAACTTTATATTATGAGTTGTTAGTTAATGGATGTTAGTAATATTGGTGGCAATATTGATTTTAAGTTTCTAAATCTTATTATGATGTCCTTAAATTTTGGGGCGTCACATTTACATCTCTTGTGTCATTTTGGTCCTTACATTTTCAATTTACTCAATTTTATCCCTTAATTTTAGATTTTTTTTTTGTCAATTTTATCCAATTGAGATTTTTTTTTACAAAAAATTATCACTGCATTAGTTAAAGTTAACTCATTAAATTGATTAAGTTTATAATTTTTCTGCCTAAAAGTATGATACATACTGCTCATGTGTGCATTTTTCATATAATAACGCTACAATTATAATCAATTGGATTAAATTAAGACAAAGTGAAAAATTCAGAATAGAAATCTACGTCAATTTGAATTATAACGACCAAAATGACATCAAAATTTAGAAACTATTGATATAATTTATTTGATCAAACTAATTTACGGTTTTTAAAAAATATTTTAGAAACAAATTCTGAAAAACAAACCACGTTCCCTTCCCATGATTTGAACCGCAGAAAGCAAGTCCAAAGAAATCAAACGCAAAACACAGCGTCAAGAATAGGAGACTAGAAAATTTCATAATCAACACCTAAACAAAAGAAAAGAAAATCATAAAAAAGTAATAATAAATTAAATTATTACTCCCTCTAGTTTAACATAAGTGTTACTTTAGTTCCTACAATCAGTTTGAACAATTAAATCATGCATTTCAATTTTGTTGTAATGTGCTCTCCCGTCACTTATCGCTAAAATTTTGAAAGAATAAAAGTCACATGCAAAATTAAGAGGATCAATTCCACTTTAATCTTTTTAGTTTTATTTTTCATTTAAAATGTTAAAGACGCATGATGGAATGATTATATTATAACGATTTTATTTGTAAAGATCAAAATGTGATTTGATCAGAAATGTAAAGAATTGATTATTATCATTTTATATGAAAGAACCAAAATAGGATTTAGTATAAAATGTAAGGGTGGAAAGCGAAATTTTGAGGGTCGAAATATCCAAGCATTTAAATTAGCAGAGAGCAACAGCCTAAGAGAATCAGGTTTGAAGACAAACAGGAAGACGACAAAAACACAAACAGAATTAGGCCGGCAAATTATCACGAGCCATATACATTTCACATGACATCCACTTCCTTGTGCCTATGTTTGGGAAGTTGTGTTGGAGGATTTTATTTATTTATTTATTTATTAAAATAGTTATAAAAAATAAAATAAGTTTTTTAATTTAATAAAATAAAATATTATATTTAATTTATAATTATTATATTTTTTTTCATAAAAAAATAAAAAAATTTAAAAAAAATCAAAAACTCTTTTTAAATCAAACTTTTTAATCTCAAATTAAAATAATTAAAAAAATCAAAAAATTTAAAATTAATCCACTTCTCAAACGAATTATATATAGGATCCTGTTATGGTGTGCAACTCCTTAAGGTTGCACACCATATGCAACCAACACAAAAGGTGTAAGTGGAAAGTGTAAATATAAAACAGGACAACAAACAGAAAATCATAAGTGTAAGGTGTAAGTTGCACACTTCCTTATAATATATCATTCTTTTTTTCTTCTCTCTCCTGTCTAGCATGTTTGTACCTAGGCTATACATATAGCTTTACATAGGACTTGAAAAGAGAATGAGAGGGATGTGTCTTATTGAGTGTCTCTGTTGCTCTCTCTCTCTTTCTTAGAACTCCGATTTAGTGTGTTGTGTTGTGTTGTGTTGCTAAAACTGCTTTGGTGTCCCCATAATAACAAAGAGAGCTATAGTATTTGAAATGGAGTTGGGGTTTAGTTTGGTTTTGCTTGTGTGTGTTTTTGGTGTGGTGGCTCTGAGGTGGTTTCTTAAGGGTGTGAATTTTTGGCTCTATGAAGCCAAGTTGGGTGACAAGAGGTTCTCTCTGCCTCCAGGTGATCTGGGTTGGCCTTTTATTGGCAACATGTTGTCTTTCCTCAGAGCTTTCAAGTCCACTGACCCTGATTCCTTCACCGCCAACTATGTTTCCAGGTTCTCTCTCTCACCGTTAAGTCTACAGACACAAAACCGATCACAGAACATACAGTATGTGTAAAACTGAAGCTTACCATGTGATATATATGATCAAAATTATTTTATACCGTTAATTCTGTGGTTGATTTTGTGCCTACTTGTAGTCTTGTTGGTCTCTCTCACACACACTGGGAGTCTTTCATATTATTCAATATAATTTCTTATTACAATTTATTAGACAAAAATAACTTAAATAAAGAAAAAAAATTAATTATCTAAATGTTGAAGAAAAAATACTTTTGATTTTTACTTTATATCTATTAATTTTTAACTTATAATAAGTTGCATTAAACATTCCTCTCTCTCATAAATTCAGATTTTTTTTTTTTGATGTAGTAAAATCCAAGACGAGTAATTGGGCATTTTGGTAATTATAATTTTATTTATTTTTCAATTACCAAAATATCTCTAAATATATATTATTAAACTGCTTTACTATTAGGGGTAATTTTGTTTTCGAATATGTAAATTAATAGTAAACTTTAAAAATATTAAAAAGTAAAAACATATTTGCTTGGTTTGAGTTTTCTAAAAACACTTTTCAAAAAATTTTACTTTCTTATTTTTCGTATTTTTTTTATTTCTATTGAATTTTTTTAATATTTGAAGTAAATTTTTTTTTTTAAAATTTTTAGGCACACCTAATATAAATACATTTAAAAAGAATAATTTTCTTGAAATTTTTTTTAAAAAAATTCGCTAAATATCAAAAATACAAAAAAAAAATAAAAATTCAATATATTTTTCCTATTTTTGTGTATTTATTAAAATTTTAAAATATTTTTTCACAAATATTTTACTTTTTAGATACATCTAAGTAAGGTGCATCTAAAAAAATAAAAAAAAAATGTTCAAAATTTTAAAAACAAAAGCTCAATTTTCAGATAACTCAATTTAGAAAACTAAAACCAAACACACTGATATGTAATTAATTTTTGAATAAATCACTGACACGTAATTTTATCTTATATTTACAAAAAATTGTTGAAAAACCTAATTTATCACTCCTAAAGATCACCCCTAATAATGTATCTAACAATTATATGAAATTTTAAATATTCTATTATATGAAATTTAACCTCAATATCATATCATCATGAATTATTTAAGTGTGATAAATTAAGTGGATATAGCTTTGTTGTCTTTTAATATAGCAAATAGAGTTGAATCCTGCGGATAAGGTTTAGGGTGCCGAACTAATTAGGCCTTGTTTGGTGAAATTTATTAAAATGGTTTATAATGTTTTTATTTATTTATTTTTCTTTTTAAATTTTGAATATCTGTGTCAAAATATTTTATTATATGGGAACTGGAAGGAGTGATTTTAGATTTTATTTTTTGATTATTAGTTTTCAATTTGAGGAAAGTATTATCAAATAAAATTCTTCAACCATGTTTGTTCGGAGAAATTAAAGAGATTCCAAATTAAATTAGGGGACATTTACGTTGGGTTTAGTTGAGAGATTTAAAAAGGGATTTGAAAAGAAAAAGAAAAAAGATGTGTAAAATTAGGTAAAATGTAAATATATTTCATTCAAATTTCACATACATTTTCCTTTTTCCTTACCAAATCCCTTCATAAATCGCCAACTAGCATAGCGTTAGAATTCGCATTTTAGATTTTCTTTTTTAACCTCGACATTTGTTTGGCTAGACCAAACTTGTTGTCTAGCTCGGATTGCTAATATGCTTATGAAAGTTGACTGAATCCCACCTTCTACTAGTATATTAGTCTCCATTCAAATTATTTTTCTTTTATTATTTAACAAAAAGAAAATAGTTATTTAAATTTTATCACTTCCTTTATTCCAATCCAATCAAACAATTTTATGTTATATGTAATTTTATCAAATAATTTCATAGTAAAAAAAAGGAAAAAAGAAGGTGATTGCTCCTCATTTAAAGAAACTTCAGAGCCAACGCCAAAATGGAATTTTCCTGGTCACTTTTCCTTGGTGGGGACAAGTCTCTCTAATATATTGTGGGCCATGTTTTAAAATTAGAGTAGTTGGTTAAAATGAGAAAAAAAATTAGGTCATCTAACTAAAGAAAATAAACAAATTTAATTCAAACATTATTGGTTTCAATCATCAGGTCAATTATTATAGATTATATCTTTGAAATGAGACCAATATTTAATAAAAATGTAAAATAAATAAATAAATATAATTCACTTTGATTGCATTTTCAATATAGTTTGATAAAAATAAACACAAAAAAATATTTTTTTTAAATAAATTTTTTTTAAAAATCTTTGATATTAAGATTTTTTATAAAGAAAATTTAATACAGAGAAATTTCGTTCCGACATAGAGAAATTTTGATTTTTACAGAAAAAATTCTTTGATTTCATAGAAAAATTTTGAAATTTCTCTGATATGATCATAGAGAAATTTCAAAATTTATCTGGTATGATTACAGAAAAATTTCATCGAAGGACTTTAACTAAAAAAAATTCTCCTACTATCCAAAGTTGGAAAGAGATATTTTACTAATTTTACCTTTTAAATTTCTTAAAAGTTATTTTCATTTCAAAAAAGAAAAAATTATATGAAAATAATAAATTTTATTTTATTGAACAAATTAATTTTCTAGGTTTTTTAAGGAAAAAAAATTTAAACTATAGTGTGTCTATAAAATTAAAATAATTTATATATCTTTAAAATTAAAACAATTTAAGTGAGACACTAAAAAATTCAAAAGACAAAAAATTATAGTTTGGACTTGCAAACATGCAAAGATTGGACCTGTACTCTGACACAAATTGGACTTGTACCTATGCATAAGTTGAATTATTTATTTAATATTTATTTTTGTCAAATTAATCATTATTTTATTAGACAAAAATAAGCATGAAAATAAAATATAAATTAATATGACAAAAATAAATATAACCATTGATGTCACATTTATTGAGAGGAGAAATGTAGTAGGGAATGATTAGGTTCCTAATTAATTTTGATTTCTAATAGATAAGGTCCATCGTTTTTTTTTTAATAAGATTAATTAGTTATCAAATAATTTTTTTACCATTAAAAAAAAGAGGCTATGCTTGTCCCCAGTCTACTTTATAGATTGGACAGTATTATTGGGCATGAGAGCTCACCACAAGTCCTGTTTCGATAATCTAAATTATAGAATATATAGATTTCATCGTGTATTTGATCTATGTAAAAAATCACATTAATCGCATATTGATAACTACATAATCGGATCAGATTTTTGTCAACAATTTATTTTGAAAATTATATTTATTTTTAACAGAGATATGATACGATCAAGTAGTTATAAATATTTGATCAACGTGATTTTTACAGAAATAAAATACTTAATACATTCTACATATTAAACAGTTCAAATTATTAAAATAAAATTTATGATAAATCTCCACAGACCTAACAATAGTTTTCAATCCGATTTCGAACTGAATAGAAGCCTGACAAAAAAAACCAAATTCAATGATTTTTGGTAGGGTGATGGGTGGATGAGACCCATCACCTGTTTGGTGGAGTCGCCCTTGCTTTAATGGTACTAACTTTATAAAAATTTAATTTATATATCAAAGAAAAAGAAAATAATATATATTTTTAATATTTTTATTATAAAAGTGAGGTGTCTTTGGGAGGAGACTTGGCTTTGTTTGGGAATAGATTTTTTTAGTAATTTTTTGATTTTTTAATTAAACTATGATGTAAAAAAAATTAGTATGTTTGTGATGACTTTTTAACTTTTTACGAAATGATATGCAAAAAGTAGAGAAAAAATGAAATCTTTAACTTTTTGGTATGGGTCGTTGGCTTTTTAATTTTTTTAGTAACTTTTTGACTTTTTGACTAAAAAAATCACTTGCTAAACGAGGCCTAAATTTGCTAAAATTAAAATTTTCAAATTCATGATAAAGTGAACTCATTCTCAAACAAATTTAAATTTATATCGGTAATCTAAATAGTTCATTTTATACAATTAATTAAGAAAATTATCTATATAAAATATTAAATTGATCTGGCATAGATTTTCATATTAGTATATTATTTTTACCTGTAAAATTTTCATATTTTTAAGAATATATACCATGTTGTAATACATATGTGATTTGATTATGTAATTATCTATATTTGATCAATCTAATTTTTCGTTTACATATTCTTCTCTACGTGTTATATCAGATGAATAATTTAAACCATTAATACATATACAAATTAGTTTGATAATGCGCTAATATATTCAAACTCGTGTGAAAGAAGAAGTTAAGAGTTTGAATGCGTAAGAGAGAGACATGGCTACTGAGACTAGGGGTGTAAATTTGGCCCGACTCAGTTCACCCGGGCCCGACCCATGTTGAGCCTCCCGGGCTCCTGCCAAAATTCGGGTCAAGTCGGCGCAGGTCGGTTCATGGGCAAAAAAATTAGGCCCAAGTCCAAGCTCAGGCCCAGAGGGTATTCGAGCCTTAGAAGGGCCTGAATAAATTTCTTATGTTTAGTATAATTTTAAAATTAAGTTATGGTTTGTAAGTTATTTAATATAATGATATTTAATTTTGATTTATCATATACATATACTTTTGGCATTAAATATTAATTGCACTTTGGATCTTAACAAATTAAATTATTTAATCAATTTTTAATAAAAATTTCAATTTAAAAATAAATATTTTTTTACAAACCTACTAAGTCATGCCAGTATCACACTTTTTTTGGAATTTCACCATATTGACGTACCCTTATTGTACCAGTACCAGTACTCGTACCCATACTTGTGCTTCATAGGTCTCAAATTATCTTGAGTAAAACTAATTGAGCCAAAAATTTCTTGACTTTTCTATGTTTGTGCATGCACGCAATTGTAACTAGTTTATTTCGCAAATTATTTTCAATAGAATTGATCGATTAATAGTTATTGAAGAATCTAAGCCTCTCATCATATTCTAGAGAATTCGATCTTCGAATTTTCCAACTCCT